GCATCACAAATATGTTTTCTGCACGAGAACAACTCCTGTTGCCTACAGTCGTTTTGTTGGCCTTGGAATTTATCAACTGTGGTTACTTTCGCTGGGCGACCAAATAAGGGATTCCACGAACATCGCTGGCGCAAAACATCTCGTATTAAAGCTTTTTGACCATTATATGTTGTCAGTATTGAGATCTTTTCGGAAGGATACCTATTGTTCCAATAATTTAACAAACGTTCATTTTAATATGCAAGGCTTCCAGGACAACGTTATCAATCAAGTTCATACCCTAATAAACGCATGTATTGATACACCGCAACAATGTATTCTGCCTCTCCAAGATTCTGAATATGAAAATAAAAAAATAAAAAAAATTAGAAGCCATAAATAATCAAAGAAAATTAAAAATGCATCATACCTAAAAAGACACTTGCCTGGTAAAAGTAGGGTACAGGTTCCGTTTCTCCCTTGTCCATATAATCACCAACATTTATGAGTTGATAATCGTAGGTAAATCTGAGAATAAAAAATCTCCTTTTAGACAGTCGTCATTTAAAGATAGAATCAAAAATTATCATCATATGAAATGTACCCGGCATTTGCTTTCTTATATTCGTCATTCTCGGTTACAACGGGTAAATCTCCCAAGTCCTTGTACCGCCAGTTGTATAGATTCGCAATTGATGGCCTTGCACGGCCCTAGTTTTAGAAACAGGTGGGTTCAGTGTTAGAAAAGTCAAACATGCAACAAAGTAAAAAGCATTACTCACCTGAGCGTCCAAATCGATGGTTGGGACTCCCAGTCTAACAAATCGTGTGAATAAGCTTTGTTCCATATTACCATATTGTTGGAATGCCATGTTTTTGACAACCGGTGGTAATTGATTGTGGTCTCCGATCATAATAACCCTCTTCAATCGACTCTTCCCGTCTTCGGTCTCTTGAAGCAGTAATGGAATAAAGGTTTCGACCTCCAAAATTTGTGCCGCTTCTTCCATCACCACATTATCATACTTGAATCTCAGTGAAACTAATTCTCGCCTCTAGCATAACGCATCAAAAAAGTAATCGTTAGATCCGACAAACTACACTTGCGCAGATTGTTGCCTCTATTTTCCCCAAACCTTAAGAGCAGCGTGTGTGCAAGTCATGGCAATTATTTTGGCTTCTTTAGTTAACAAATAATTTGCACGATCATAGCTCGTTCGCAGCAATTCGAACCCGCGTATTTCTTCTAGCTCTGTAAAAATTTTTTCGATGTGTCGAAAGCATCCCTCGACAATTTCAAGCGTTTCAGCGTAACTAATGTCATCTGGAAAGAGGGGTTGCGGGGCGTCGGAAAAATAATTCGTGAAAGGAAATTCATCGCGTATTGTCTTGATATTATCACTGCCATTCTCTAGTCCCTGTCGACACTTGTCAATGTAAGGCTCCCATCTTGACAGGACGTGATACAGGTAAAAATAACCAGCAGTTTCACAAGTGTACCCGTGTTCCCCGCCAATTTCCAATGATTTAGCTATGCGATCTACCTCGCCTAACAAAAAAAGTCTTCTTTCCTAAAAGAAAGTGTATACAATGTCGTTATAACCTTCTATACTACACAAAAGAAATAGCATATAAGTAATAGGAATTAATTACCAAAAATGAATTGACACGACCGTATTTACTAAAGCTCAATTCAGTGTTAAGTTCCTCTTCACCGTGTCCTAAACGAAGCAAATGACGCTCGTCGACATCTTTGTTTAGAACAAATGGAAAGTGTTAAAACGATTTCCGGTGTATCGAAACGAAATCAACGAAAGACAACTTACCAAGTGCCAGGATCTTTTCAAATAATTGATTAAGTGCCTGGTTACTATGCGTAACCAACAATGTATGTTGATCGGGGAAATTGTGATAAAGATTGGCAATAATTTGAACTGCAACATCTGTTTTACCCGTACCCGGAGGACCAACCACCATAGTCAAGCCAGGGTTTGTTCCGGACTTGATAGCTTCCACTAGAGCAAAATTTAATTCTCGCGTTATGCATCAAATTCGATATAGTAAGTTTTTATCTGTCAAACGACTTTACCTTGTCTAGGCGTAAATCTAACAGAGTTTCTCTTTGGTATATTAAACGGGTAAGGACCCATGTTTGGCATGGTGTATGTTCGTACTACTATTTCATCAAGCTTTGGCACATCGGGTTCCGCTTCTTCGGAAATTTTACCTTTATCTCCTTTCGAAGATTCTGGAAATTGAATGATATATGGAGGGCTAATGGGAGCTTCGTATCCTTTTGACGGGACTATTTTCTAAATATGATGATGCTCGTAAGTATTTATCAATATCTATCGATCATGAATGAAATAATTTTAAACACCTTTTCGGGAAAGCTGCTAACAAGATGGTCATAATTCAAGAAAGTATCTCGAAAATCGATCTCTTTTGGTAAATTTGGCATCATCGTATAGTGAGCGCTGTCAGGAAAACCGTAACCCAAAAAGACGTTGTGCAGCCAATCAGGAACAACCAATTCACTCTGCATTAGATCTCTGATAGTTTCCAGCACAGCTTTAAAATTATTTTCCTTGATAATGCAGAACAAAAAAAAACTTAGCAAGGAGTATTTTTTGAAAGTTATATCACAGCACCAATACCTGCCTTTGGCTTTCTTCTCATTAGTATATTAAATGTTTCGTATACATCTTCATCTTTCACACGAGAATATCTGTCCATATCCATCTAAATCGTGAGACAGTCAGCATTAAAATTTGACTAGATAATAAATGATATCCACATATATCCGACGATATAACGTTACTTTAAATTGATTAGTGTCTAGTAATACACGAAGAGTCCTGGTATTTCCAGAAATTTTAGGTTTGCGATCATCCACTCGCGGCTTTCCGATCTCGTCAATAGGTTTTCCTGGAGCCCCCAAAAGAAAAGAGGTTAGCTAATGAAAAATACCAATGTATAGAAAATTAAAAATACGATTCTTGCCATCATCACCGATTATTTCGCATACTTCAACGCCTCTAACATATTTCAAACCAAAATGTGGCCTACAATTAAAAAAAAAAAAACGAAACTAACATCAGAACAAATTGAACCGCGCAAATCAGAATTTTATTGATCCTAACAATTTAAGATGTAATTATTAACCTGAAAGGCATTTCATCTTTATATTTGTCAGAGGTACCGTCATGAGCTTGAATTGTTAGCAAAAACAATACATCATGTTGCCTCAAAGAATCCCACTCATTCCTAATAGAGTCCGTGTATCGACCAAGATTATAAGTCACCTGGTATATAAAAAATATCCTTTTTTATTAAAAAGTCACAATGTAAGTGCCACGAAATTAGATGAAAAATTCTTACATCTGCTCTGACTTGCGAAGGTTTACTTTCACCAAGATTCGGTTTAGAAATTTCCACGATGCTGATATTAACATTTAGTTAGTTAAGAGGGTGAAAAAACATAAGCAGGAAATACTTCGGGATAAGAAAAGAAATGCTCACTTAAATCTTTCAACCTCCACAGCCATACGCGCCCAGCCTGTGAACTCTGTCCTACCAGATGGATAGGTTATTCTTGGCGCCAAACGTTTGACCACATCTTCAATGTCTTGACGAATTTCATAAGTGCTTTCGAGACGAAACAAATTGAAGTTTCTCAATAAATAATCATGAATAGTGAGAAATTGTAAATTAAGTTTTGGAAGGGCCAGTGGTGAATCACCAGAATAAAATTGCGTTGTCACAACTGCATCATCAAACAACGTATTCTAGAAGTGTCATGTAGCATTAGATAAATCAAATTTATGATGATTATATATAATAATGATAAACTCGACAACACAAACCTCGTCAGGATACAAAGGAAGAGCGTTAATTGCGTCGATCTGACTTACTCTCCTCTCAAATTTCCCGATCAAGACCTCCAACAAGAATTGTTTTTCATATACACCATCACCAACCAACTTATGGTACCTTACATTGAGAAATTCGCATAAGCGTATAATCTCTTGATGTTCAAGAGGAGCAAAATGGCTCATCAAATCTTCTCTGTTTTCAATGGAAGATAAATTGGATAACGCCAACAATTGTAATGAATCTTTGAAATGTTGAAATGCAATGTGCTAGATAAAATTAATTAAATCAATCGTTTGTTATTCGTATTGGTTGAGAGTAACGAAAAACAAGATGAAGAGTGATCCTTTAATCACCTGTAAGGCTGTCAGCTTTCTACAATGTAACTCTGTCATTTCGTCATCTGTCAATGCCAACCCCGTGTGATCATGAATTTCAAATCCAGCGTAAAACTTCAATGTTTCCAATAACTTCTTAAACAGCTCACTAATAATATCGAACATCAATTAACAATGCGTAATTAAGGAAACTCATGATAACAAATAATGGGGATCATCACAAACCTTCCTTCTTTGCGCCTAACAAATGGTGACAATTTACATAACACCAATATCTGATGGTCGTCTAAAAGGGTATTGAAATACCTTCTCGTTGGAAGTTGAGCTTCCAAGTCGATCAGGAATTCCAAGAAACGTTCACAGTATGC